CATCAATAATTTGGGACCTACTTCTCCAATTTGTGCAATAATCGTTATGAAAAGCCTGCCATCAAATATTTATATCAAGTCAACACTAATGAAGTTAACTTCAATCTAATCAATGATTTTATGAATATCATTAGTTCGTTCTGGCCAAGCAGCTATGATAGAAATAAAATAATATTATGAAGAGAAGGTAAAAAACACTGAGGCTTTCGTAATTTTAGACCAAATTGGGGAATATCAAAACTCGCCACCTCTGGAAGTCCACTAAACTTTAATGTTCATTCACCATCAATACAACAACGAAAAAGATCCAATTGCAATTAGAACCAATCAATATTTCTATAAACCAAATTAATTAATTATAATATAAATTTAAAACAATTATAATAAAAAAAATAAAAATAAATAGATAATTAGACATTTTTTTAATAAGAAAAGTGATTTATCAATTACTTTATTATTAAACTTCTTTTTCATTTTATACATATTTATTTTTTTTTTAATTTTTATTTTACAATATTATTTTTCATTTTTAATATTTTTTTTTTACAATAAACTGTATACTTTGTATATATAATAAATATTCAATGTTTTATTTCCGTTAAAAGTTTTTCTCTAATTTAAGTTTTAATTTAATAAATGAATGAAATATTTCTTTTATAATAAAATGTGTAAATAAAAATAATTATTCTGATAATGTTCTCAATGTTTTATTTATTGATACAAACAAAAAAATAATTACAAAAAAAAACAAAATGAAAAATAAAACAAATAAATGTATGAAATTAGTGAAAAAAAATTAAATAAATAAGTGTAATTAAAAGAAAAAAATTAAAAAAAATGAAACTTATAATAAAGTAATGTTTATGGTGTTGAAGATATTATAATTTATTATTTTTAGAAAAAAAAAAATTAAAAAAAATTAAAAAAATTAATTTTGAATTTTTTTAATTTTTTTTATTTTTTTTTTAAATTTATCATCATTTATTGTGGGTACTATTATAATAATAATAATAATAATAATAGCAACATATAATAATAGTAATGATAAATTTTTTTTCAAAATGAAAAAACAATATATATTAAGTGAAATACAAAGACGCATCAGTTAAGGTAAATAATTACACATGCTTTACTAAATTACTACACGTGGACGTATCACCAATAAATAGTTACAAAGAAAATAAGTGATTATTCAATGGGATTTATACAAAATGGTAACATGGTACTGTCATTCGTTTTATATTCAATAATCAATATAAAGTTGGATGTAAAATTAAATCATGTTAGATACTGTGGAAAAATTGGAATCTATTCAATCATCAAATATGTACTATTATTATATAAATACAAATATATAAAGTGATTCGATTCGATTCGATTATTAATTCAATTTTTAACAGGTTTAAAGAATATAAGATTCTATCATAATGATTTAAAAGTATCAAATAAAATGTTTATTCTAGAGAATTTTCCATGCATTGTAATGCAACTTGAAAACAGTTTGAATTTAAATTTATTGTAGAAAGAAACATTACAATAAATCCATCCAACATTCCCAACCGCAGCTGCAACCACAATAAAACAATTCTACTTTAATAATTAAATTTAAACATATAAGATCATTGGGCTTTATGGTCAAAAGAAAAAAATTTATTAGAAATTAAATTAAAAGTAAGTGGTAATAACATTTAGACTAATTGATTATTGTTATAAAGTAAACATATGTAATAACACTTTAAATTATTAATTATAATACAGGTAGATGAATATATATTAATAAAATCTAGAGATATAAAGCTTTTTTTAGAGATTCAAATTTAAATATTTTAGTATACAGAAAAGAAAAAAGAACAGATACACATGTTTGATTTAGTAGAATGTGCATACTATTTAGATAATACAGAAGCATTGGAGTATTTCCTATCATTTCATATCATTAAATGTACCAACATTTTTACCAAACTACACAATTAATAAAAAAAGTTTTTCAATATCATCAATTAAATCATTAGAATTACTATTAAAATATCGAGTAAATATCATAGAACCTTATAATATTAATGTCAATAATAACAATAACAATAATAACACAACAGCAGCTTCATCATCATCATTCAGTTTAAACAATAGTATAAATTATACAACAGAAGCATTAGCATTCAGTTTAAAAAATAGTTATAGAAACAATAATAAAACAACTACACCAGAACCTTCAACATACATTTTAAAAAATAATAGTATCAATAATTTAAATAGTATTAGTGAATATAGTAATCTAAATAATAATAGTACCAGTTTAGCCCGAAGCGCAAGTTGTAGTAGGCAGTTGTAATAGTAATGATATTAATTGGAGTAGCGGTAGTAACAATAAAAACAGTAATAGCTTTTAATTAATAATGGTAATATAACACTTCCACCACCATCATCATATAGAAATTTAATTAAAGAGGAATTAAAATCATCACCAATTTATATACTACTACATTCAAAAACATTAAATATCGGTAATATTCAAGAGGCATTAGATAGGTTTAATTCAAACAGAGCAGACTACCCAAAGATTACCGATGAAGAATAAAGAAATGTCTCAAATATTGAATATTATATAAATAAATTTTTTCATATAAATGGTCTTTTTTATAAATTTATTATTTTTTTTATTATTAATTAAAACATCATTTATTAGTGATTGTTAAATCACCTTTCTTATTATTAAATAAAAAATTTCTAATTATCTAATAATTTTTATTTTTTTTATTATAACTGTTTTAAATTTATATTCTAATTAATTTTTTTTTGTTTATAAAAATATTGGTTGGTCTAATTGCGATTGGATCTTTTTGCACAACTTGACGAAACAGGTCCCAAATTATTTGATGATTTCGGAATATATATCACTTGATACAACTTTATCAAAAACTAAACAAAATTCTACTTCCCAATATAATAGACTCTACTACTTTGTCCAAAGATTATGCATAGCTTGATGGAACATATTCGATATATCTACCTTTGATAAACAAATAATTCACTATTGGTGTAAAAGATTCTTAAGCACTACACTTGATGCAACTTTACCACCACAGAAAGAAACCTCGGCCGATTAACCTAAACTTAATAAACTTCTATTTGATCAGCTGGTGGAGAAGCAAAAATACCAATTTCCTCTCTCATTCCATTATATTGAAATAACAGTTGAGCCTTCTTTTAGAGCCAAAAATTCGCGAGATGAACATATGTCACTTGATATCTTTTGTTGGGCGACCTTTTCATGTGGTAAAATTTTGAAAATTGTATCATCTTTAACCTTCCATTCTAAATTATTAATTGAGCAAGATTCGAAATGAATTCCTTTTGGTATCATCTATGTTCAAAGATTTGCAAATAAAATCGATTTATTACTATTTGATTTTAATTCTTCTAAAATGTAGTGATTTTAATTTTGATTAGTGGAAACATTTTTTCTTAAAACAGCTAAACCTTTTCTAGTTTCTTCTAATTCTTTTTATAATCTAAGAATTGCCATTTATTGTTCCATTTATTTAACTTTAAACCTGTTGCAGATAATTCATCGAAATCAATTTCTTCTTTTGAAGCAACCTTTGCAGCGGTAACTAATAAGTTTGTAGAATTTGTAAGTTTATGTTGTGATTGACTATTAATATAAGATTTAGAAGCGGAAAAAAGTTGAGAGGTAGCAGCAGAGATTACACCTTCAGCCCAAGTTGGATATTTTCTATACATTGGACCACCATTACTAGTTCTACCTTTTTCGACACGTTCTCTTTGAGCCAATGTCGCAGCACCGACCAAAGTTGATGAAGCACTAGTAATTACCATAGCGGCTTCCAGAATAGCTTCAGCGACATCAGGAGCATCTCCTTCTTTCTTTGGTTCTATCTTTGACTTTGCAGCCAATAAAGAATTGGCAGTATCTTCAATGGTTTTAGCAGCAGCTAATAATTCTCTTTCGGCATTATCACCGAGGTCGAAACCACTCTCTAAATATTTCTTTTCTTTTTCCTGACCAGCATCGTCTTGTTGAGCTAATGCATCCAATGCAATGACACCACCTCTAAATGAAGCTAAATTATTTGCCAATCTCTTACGATCGTCATCATCTTGACATTGACCACCTTGAATACGTACACTTTCAAATAGATTTTGAGTGAGGCACCAATTTTTCTAGTTGCATCCATAAATTTACTTTGTAATTCCGGACTACAATTAATCTTGAGGAACCTTTAGAGTCATGGAATAAATCTTTTAATGAACCTGAAACTGAATTGACAGCGGCGAAAATATCCTTTTCTAAATAATCACCCTCTTGATTACAAAGTTCATGTAAACGATTGGCTTGTTGCATATGGTGTAAAAAATCTTTGATTACCATTTGATGGGTTGCTTCTGGATTAGGTTACCTAGATTATTTGGATTGTCGATTAATTCAGAAACATTACCAAACTTGATTGTTTTTTGAATTATTTGATTGCTAAAATCCTGTTTTGATGATGGTTCATAACCTAATACTGAAAAGATTCCGGGCAGGCCAAACTCTAATAGCTATTAAAACGCGTCATCATTATTAAATTGTGGTGGTTAGCTTGATTTATTCTATATCCTGCATATTTTGATTAATTGATAAATTATCAGCATAAGTAGCAATCTATATGAGAATAAAGCAATACCAATAAGTTGTGGATCATTTGTATTGTCTTTTTTAAAATAAGATCTAGGCACTTGTGAATTAAGTTGAATTAAACTTTTCTGTTAAACCAATTGTTAAAGAATGGCAAGCGAAAGTTGGGGTTACTTTAAAGAATTTATTCTATCACTGTTGCTTGGGCCAAAGCAAATGTATTAAGATTTATATAAATAGTTGCCCGAGATTGAAAGACTTTGAAAGAATTTGAGTTTCGGCGACTTTGTGATTTTTTATGAAAGTTATTGCTATAAATGTTGAGATTATTATTATTATTATTGGTGCAATAGTTCGTGGATGGATTGGTATTTATTATTATTTGTAAATAGTATAAAATCTCTTTTAATAGGTTCGCTGTGCATTTGTAAACATATGCTAAATCTTTATATAAAATCCTTTCATTCATAATATCGACGACAGCTGATCCTGTAAGTGTATTGAATGGTTTTATTTAATCTTCCTTTTGAATATTAATAAAAGTTAATTTAATTTATGTTAGTAATTCTGTTTCTATTTTCTATATTTCTTCAACGATGCTATTTTCTATATGTATATGGGTTTAATGTTGTTGCTGTTGTTGTTTTAAAATAATATATTGATTTACTTACTTATTCTCGAAAGGTTTTAAACATATTTTCAGTACTATTAAAACTATTATTATTATTATTGATTGGATGTGCCATAGTTTACATTATTGAAATTATTTATGTGTGTGTTTGTTTGTTGTGATCGAAAAAAATAAAATAAAAAAAAAAAATTTTAAAAAAAAAAAAATTAAAAAAAAAAATAAAAAAAAATAAAAAAAATTTTTATTTTTTTTTTTTATAAAATTATTTGATTTTAAAAAAATAAATATTATTTTAAAAATTTAAAGTGGCCGTAATGTTTTGACTAAAAATTGGGGGTATACATAATGTCTAAAATTTTTAAATCTAGAAAATTTTCTTCTTCCCTATATGCATATGTGTTGGTTGTATTTTATTTTTACTATTCAAATATTATTTAAATAATACTGATTTTAATTATTTAAAGTGGTTATTAATAACTATTTTTACCTTTTTAAATCTATAATTGAACCCTTTGCTTTGATCTTTTTCTTGAGTCTAATTACATAATAATCTTTGCAAATATTGATTACCTATAATATTTTTTTTATTTTATAATTAGTATTTTTTTTTGTTTTATTATGAATAAATAAATAAATAATTCAAAATAATAATTATAATAAATATCTATATCATTCACCTGTCAGTTTTTTAAAGAGGTCCACATTCAATAATAAATGATTTGATATAGCCCTCTGGACATATACCCATTATATTAAGGAAATATGGTTTAAAAAACGGGGGATTACCACGATGCCAAACACTATGTGAATGTCACACCCCTGCTCCCTTACGGGCCATTGATTAGGTATACTTTGATATAGATAAATTATTTATTATTATTTGTTTACTATTTATTTACTCATATATTTATTATGATTAATTTTTTTTATTTTTATACTAAAATTTATTCAAACTATTGAGAAAAAAATAAAAATACATCAATGTAAAAATGTGTTGTAAAATTATGAGGCATCTTTTTATTGGATTTTTTAAAACACACATTACCGCCATATTTATTTTTAAAATTCAAATAATTTTATAAAAATTTTTTTATTTTTATTTTTATTTTTATTTTTATTTTTATTTTTATTTTTATTTTTTTCAACACACAACAAACACACACACACAAATAATTTTAAAATATAGCACATCAAACTAAAAATAATAATTTTAGCATTACCGAAATATGTTCAAAACATTTATAGAACAAGTTAGAAAATCAATACATTATTTTAAAACAACAACAACAATAACAACAAACCTATATACTTATAAAAATTGGCATCTTTGAAGAAATATAGAAAATAGACGCAGATCCACAAACATAAATTAAATTAACTTTATTAATATTCAAAAGACAGGTGCACCAATTAAAACCATTCAATATCCTTACAGGTTCTGCTGTCAGCGAAATATCAATACCAATTGTTTATTGTAATATAAATAGATGAACATAATTTATGGTACCTAAACAATAAGTATGGTCTTAAGCTATCAAATATTTCTTTGATGTTTAATCTATTAATGTTTTACAAGATAACTGTCCAAAAATAGTTAGGGAAATTTCCAAAAATTTAACAAAAACAATGGAATGTCTTGTCATATGGATCCCAAAATACTCTTCAGACCTCAAAATTATTGAAAATTAAGATTAGTTTTAAAAATATGTATAATTTACAAAAATCAAAGCAATTCTGATGTAGATTTTAAAGAATTAATAGATGAAATATGGTGTGGAATTGAACGAGAAGTTATTGATAATTAATATCAATCAATTCCAAAAAGAATTGAACAAATAATGGAAAATAAAGGTGGTTTCACAAAATATTAAAAGTTTTTAATCAAAATACCAAAAATAAAAAATTATTTTTTAAAACACCAAAAATCTTTACAAAAATATTTAACTTATCATAAAAAAAAAAAATTTAAAAAAAATTTAAAAAAAATAAATACAATTTTTTTTTTTAATAAATCTTAAAAACATTTATCTTTTTTATATTTATGAACCAATTTTATAATATAAAAAAAAAAATTTTTTTATGTAAATCTAAATTTATGAAATGATTTTTTAATTCAAGATGGTTATGTAAAATTAAATGAACATACATTTATAAATTAATTTAAAAATTAAATAAAATATAAATTTTACATAATTTTTAAAAAAACCCAAAACAAAAAAAGAATGTTATAGAAATAATTAAATATATAAAATATTAATAACTCAAAAGTTTTTTAAATTTTAAAATTTAAATATTTTTAATGTATATTCTTTATTTAAAATATTTAAAATATTTTTATATAATTTATTTTATAAAATATAGATGATTATTTTAAAACTCATATATAGTAATAAAATGAACTCTGTGATAATAATTATATTGAACTGAAATTTTTTATTAATTTTTTTTTTAATTTAAAATTTTATTTTTTTTGTAATAACAATTTAAAAAGAAAAAAATAATAAAATTAAAAAAAAAAAAGAAAATACAACCCCTTTTAGAATATTTAATTAAAATAAATAACAATAACTTTTTTTTTATTTTTTTTCCTTTCGTTTGTGTACATATGAAGTTCCTTTTAATAATTTTTGAATTAAATGCGCACCCAACCACCATGGAAGCTGAAATATAAAAGCTAAAATTGGAAAACAACCTAGACTCTATTCAACCCGAGTGTGTGATGGAAATTTAAATTCTTTTTATCTAATTTCTTTGATGATTTAAAAAATAGTTATTCTAACTCTAATATTTAATACCAAACGGAATGGCTCTGTGTAGCCTTCATCAGTGTCATAATGAACAAAGTTTTCATCGGTATCATAATGGATATCATCATAATCTTCATGGAACTCTTCATTAGTTGTTTGATTTCTTTTGATTTTTGAAACGATGGAAAAAATTAAAGCTAATAAATAGGTTATAATTTTTGAAATAAAGCCCATTATTTTTTGAATCATTTTGAAGTTATTATTTTAAAAAAATTTATTATTTTTATTGAAGTTATTATTATTAAAATTATATTAATGATAATTAAAAAAAAAAAAAAAATAATAATGAAAAAAAATAAATTAAAAATTTAAATAAAAAAAAATTAAATTATGTGTCAGTAGGGGTATCAAAATTTAAAAAAAATAAAAAATAAAAATTAAAAAACTAATGGGGTGGCGAACTTAGAAAAAAAAGTGTCATTGAAAGGGCCTTTTTTTTTCTTGATTTTTTTATTTAAAAAAAAATAAAAAAAACTTTTTTTAAAAAAAAAAAAAAAATTTAAGGAAAACATTTATTTCAATTTATTATTTATTTAAAATATTTAAGTGATTGAGTATTAAATGATTTTGGTTAACTTTTTATGTAACATTTATTTATTTTAATTTTTATTTTAGCAAAAAAAAAAAAAATTAATTTTAAAAAAAAAAATTTTAAAATATAATTGTAAATATTAAATATGATCTACTAATTCAATAATTATCATTTAAAAAAGTTGTGGGGTCTAAATATATAATCCGGGCAGTGCATAATGACTATTTTTTAAACTGAATGCTAATGCTATTGTTGTTGTATAATGATCGTTAAAAATCAAATAATGGGGTTTTTGTTTATACTTTGTAATAATGGTTTTTAAATTGGCATAAGTAAATTCAAATGATCCATCTACTATTTAACCGACTTCACCTACGCCAATAGAAGCAATCAAAATATTTCATTAAAATAGAAATAAAAATTAGAAAATAAAAGTTATTAATAAATGTTTAATCTTTATTTTTATTATTATAAAACTAATTCTTCATGAAATATAAAAATGAAATCTGAGTTGATAATACTTAAATTGGACTAAATATACTTTTTTTCTTTTTGTTATCTGTTAATTTAATTAATATGGTTATGATTTTTTATAATTGAAAATAATTCTTTTTTAAAGGGAAGAAGAAAATTTCGAGATTTAAAAACTTTGACAATATGATTATTTAAATGTATATCCCCAAATTTAGTCAATATCAACACGTTATGGCCATTTTAAAATAATATTTATTTTTAAAAATAAAATTATTTTATAAAAATTTTTATTTTTTTTTTTTATTTTTTTTAATTTTTTTTTCGATCACAACAAACAAAAACATGCATAAATAATTTTAATAATGTAAACAATAGCACATCTAATAATAAATAATAATAATTTTAACATTACTGAAAATATGTTTAAAACCTTTTGAGAACAAGTAAGTAAATTAATACATTATTTTAAAACAACAACAACAACAAACCCATATACATAGAGAAAGTGGCATCGTTGAAGAAATATAGAAAATAGAAACAGAGTTACTAACATAAATTTACTTTTATTAGTTTTCAAAAGACAGGTTTACTAATTAAAACCATTCAATACCCTTACAGGATCAGCTGTCGTTGATATATAAAGATTTACCATCAATGAACCCAGTTAACGGTGCCTCTTCTGAATCAATGTTAAACTCATTTGGAAGTGTCTCATTCTCTGGTAATAGCTTATTTGGGCACTGATATAAATAACTCTACTGAAACATTATTCAAAAACACAATTTAGCGAATCATCACCAAGTTTATTCAATACTATTTTATCAATTGTAATTATATAATGAAGAGCTATATTTAATAAAAAAGAAAATGGTAAAAAATAAACATATTATTTATAAAAAAAAATTTTATTATATTTTATTTAAAAATTTAATGATGTTTCAGTATCCTAATACTGAAAATATTAAAATCATTTGGATGTTCCAATATATTTGCCTGGCCAGGGAAAATGTATTTCTTCCATCAAATAGATTGGAAATATGTGAATGTTTGATTCTATTATTATTATTATTATTATTATTATTATTATTATTATTAATATTATTTGTGAATGTTTGATTCTATTATTATTATTTTTTTTTTTTTTTTTTTTTTTTTTTATTATACAAAAGTCTACTTGAAACGCAATTGAAGGTATTGGAGGTCTACACCTTGTAAAGTATTTTTTAAAACAAAATTATTCTTGTCCTTGATTATTAAAACCCATTTCTTGCCATTGAAAAATTTTTTGGAACTATATCATTTGGGGTTCCTTTTATTAAAAAATCATTTTCTTCTTCCAAAACATCAAAAACTTTTTGGAATTGCCCATAGGCCCTTTATTTTTTTAAACCTTCTTGA